AACGTCACCGCCGCCAACGTCACCGCCGCGGAGACTGCGGTGAAGCAACCGCCAGCCACCACGCACAGAGGAGGCTCGCCTCCTCCCGTGCAGCCAGTGTCGGCGGAGTCGCCGGAGGCAACGGCCGCTGAGCGTCGATTTCAACCTAATCATAATCATCGTCTCTTTAAACCGCCGTCGGACCCGCTGAACAGAGCCACGATGAATGGGGAGGGTCGCACGGTCGTTGTGTCGCTGGACAACTTTGAGCGAGCGCCAAGAGTCAAAGGCGTGCTGAACAGCCCCAGAAGTCTGAAGGCCTGCCGCATTGAGGAAGTGGATCCGACCGAGTTGCTGCCGCGCAAGGTGACAGATTTCATGGGGGTGGGAGTGCCGCAAGACCTCGCGAAGTTGCGTCATGACTTCTTTGAGCAGCGGCGGGGGGAACGTGTCGAACGCGTCCGCCGCACCCGCAGTAAGTTGTTGGCTGAAGAAGAGAAAGCAGTTCCTCCGGAGGAAACGGCCACGGAACCGACAAAATTGCGTGGAAAATCCCAAGACTCCGCAGCTGCAGCGAAGGCCCCGGCGAGTGGTATCAACGACACTCATCACACCTTGATGTCTATGTCGAATCACCACGGACGCACCTCGCGCAGTAGCAGCGTCCCCTGGAAGCATGGCCTCAGCCTCTCGAGGAACTCTCCTTCCGTCCACGCGAGGTCCACGGCGCACAGGCCTGAGAGTCGCTCCACGTCGGTGGGTGCCATGATGATCTACAGCCGCGCCATCAGCGAGCATCGTCCACCCACGGAGAAGGAAGTGGCCATGCTTGAGAGGATCGAGGAGCGTGAGCAGCGAATCGCCGAGGCCAGACATCGTGTGGAGGTTGAAGAGGAGCATCGGGAGCAGGAGTTCATTCAAAAACAGCTGAAAAAACTAAAGCAGTCCATGCGGAACATAGTGGAGAAGGAGTACAAGAGAAACACGTCCATCAACTGTCTGCGAATAAAGCGAGAGGAGCAGATGATTATGATTCGTGAGCGACAGAGACGCATTGATGAGGAACGACAATTTCGGCGGGAATTGCGCGGAAGTGATAGGACTGCGTTGCGTGGGAATTCTGT